TAGGAAACAGGGTTACACCTTGGTGATAACAAGTCATTGTTGTATTGACATCTCCTCGAATGTTAAAACAAATATAAATAAAATACAGTTTCAAGTGTTTGCAGATAACTGACAACATTAAAAACCTTATAGATTAATGACAATTATTAAGGACAGAAAGAGAGGTTACCTTCCATAATGCATAACAGAAGAATAGTCATACGGCATGTTCAGGTTGTTAGTGTTCATGTTGTTGGCACTCGCTGTGGAACAAAACATATTTGCATTTCAAGAAATCATAGTAATACTTTTCACAAAACATATAAAAATGTACATATCGATCAAAACATATGACAAATAAAATGTATATAAAGTTTGATTATGCATTGACATAGGGAAGACTCTGAAATATAGTTTCGTCCTCTCAAACACCTTTTACATATTAGTAAGAATAAATATCACTAGTACTATCTTCTCCCCTTTATTCTAATGTGTTGATCAATATCAGACAGCAGCCCTTCTCAATATTTAATATTGCTACTAGCCTTTAATATTATGACATTATATACAAGCCATATTGCCCAGCCCTATTATGGTGAGTACAACAAAAGGGAATAAGAATTAGAAAAGTGAAATACTAAGGGAGCAGCAACAAAAACAAAAACAAACTATAGAAGGCTCATGTTCCCATTTCCTACTGATTTACTGTTGTAAAAGTGTAGCTGCTTTTGTAATTAAGTCTTACCTGATGGAACATTCTGCCAGTTGATCCGGACGTACCGGTCCCTGTCGCTCCTAGTGGGCTCATGGTGGAAGCCAAGTGTGTGGAGGAGCTTGTGCTGAATGGTCCCACGATCAAGACAGCCATACACGGACAGAGAAACCACCTGCCTCCCTCCGTCTCTGCCGATGGTAGCCCAGCACCTACGGGACAGAAAAAGACGGGGAGACAGCAGGTTTGTATCCTGGCAGACAAGTGAACTCATCACACTGACCAATCACCTCTACGTACCCCATTTCACTCTCAATGCTGAGGTAGTCAGATTGGCCACGATGAGGAACAAAGCGAACACAGGTTTTCTTGTGGAAAGTGTCCATAGCTTCCTTAATGGAGGCATGTTCACCATCATCTGTAAAGAAAACAGGTAGAATGTCAGTTTGTTGGAATCTATAAACAAAACAACGCTTTCAAAAAAACGATTAAATGCTTTATTGGAATTGTCATGAATGATTCCCTAAGTCCCTACAGAAGTAATCGCTGAAGATGTAGGGCACTTCAACGAGCCGTTCGAGCATTTCATGGCATTCCTCTTCTTTGAAGGAGCCACACCACCTTCTACCAGATTATGGCTGATGTATATATATTTTTTGTTAGCCAAGCTATTTGTGTGATCGTTAAACCTCTTATCTCTAATTTACGCCAGAATGATTTAAATAGCCCAATATCACAAATCATGTTTTTACTTCCATAAAGCAGGGTAGGCTATTGGTTGAGTTTGTTGGTTTATTTGTCAGCAAGATTGTGGAAAACTCCAGCCCCAATAAGCATAAAACTTGAATGTAGCATGGGCCATTACATTTGGAGTAGATCAAAATAATTTTTGCAGATACACACATTTATTTCTTATGGAAATGGTCTTGGTGGAGGTCTTTCCTTTCTAGTTTCTAGATCTGTTTGCACTAGTTTTTTGTTTGATGTCTTCTTTTTGTCCTAATTTGTTTAAATCTTTGTTTCTTAATACATTTATTGACTCAAAAGCCAACATATCATTTGAAAATCCCACATACTCATGCATTCACACACAACCGCACAAACACTTCAATGCCAAATGTCCTCTTTCTAGAGTCTAAACTTGACTGCTAATGAGTAGGTGAATTCTTATAGACCAAACGACCAGCAAAGCAACCTTTATCTGCTAGTTGCATCTGAAAACACTAGTATGATGAGTCTTTTTATGGGGATGTTGTATTGTAAGTCCTTGGTAGTTGTTAGTATTACTAAAGCGGGTCCGTGGGCTCAGAGAGCCATAAAAGGCCTTTTCTCAAAATACGTGAAAATGAGTTGAGGTCTAACTTAAATTAAATTAATAAACGGAGGGATAAGCTCCAACGAGAAACTCCCTCAGGTGGCAGATAAGACCTTGGATAAAACTCCATACAGTATGTGAAATAGGTATGGACATGAATACATACATGTATAGGTTTGATTCCTTGATCAGAAATAACTCATGATGCATTATAAATGGAAAAGCTGCTATTCTTTACTGAAAGTCCTTGAATGAAATGATGAAACAGTTACAAAAAGACCAAATACACTGTAAACACAAAGGTAAATACAAACAGTAAATAATGCCCTAGTTAACACGTAGAGGTTTCAAGTGTCTTTGCAAATGTCTTTGCTCCTTCTGTCCAATAGGAACACAGCACATGTCGTAAATTGTATACACATTTTCCCAATTACATGTTGGATTAACTTTATTGATGTACATATTAAACATGACTTTCACTCAAGTTAACATTGAGAAGAAGATACTTTGACTTTTCTGTTGAAACATGTCTCATGTCATCATTGATATGGTGTACTGTAATTTCAGTTATGCATATTTTTTTGCTACAGTTGTCTACTGTAAACGTAGAAACAATATGCAGGTGATGAGCTGCGTTATATGTGCAGTATTATTTCAGTTCTCAGATAATAATGGCCCATACTCCTGACCGCTTCATATAAAGTCTTTAAAAAAGGGCTTAAAGAAGTCAGTTACAGTAAGGGACATTTCTTCGGAACAGGGTAAATGATTTCTGGTGGCAATGGCATTGGTATTTTAACAATTATTTTTGCTTTTCTTTTTAACATCTTTGGACCATGTTGTAATTAAGAGTTTTTACTTTAACATGTTGTCCTGTGGGTATTTTACATACCTGTGTCAGATAATTCATCAACAATTAAGTGTCCATCCTCAGTGTAAACCCAGTTGACAATAACATGTAATGCCGTTATTTAATATTTCAGTAAGAATGTAAAATAAATGTACTCTACTGGCATTCAGACTACACTTTCCTTTGAGATAGGATCACAAAACCAACATCTGTAAAACTCCTCTACAGCCACATACAGTAGTAATGCCATGCCACACTCTTTCCATTTCTTAAAGTCGTATTAAGTTAGAACATCACATGGAAACTCTATCCTCTAATAAAACAACCAGCTACCATTTGTTCTCATTTGGTCATTCATCATGGCGGAGGAAAATTAGACTCAGCACTGCTTAATGTGAGGCTGTCTGGTGGGCTGGCAGGCCTTTAAAACGTTTTTGCCACTAAACAGCCCGGGCACCATCGCTCACTCATCACCAAACCATTATTTAACCATTAGGATGGCTGCGTTTCCACTTGTAAGCACTTTCCTGGTTTACACAGACAACTCCTATTTGTATGCCTGCTCCATTTGATCAAATGGAAATAGTTTGGAAGACTTGTTCAAATAATTTAAGATGCATTTGGTTTCCCCAATACTCAACCTTTCATATTTGGTTTTGAAGTGTTGCTGCTGAGTCTTAGGGGGATTTGGTAGTCATTTGAACTCAAAAGCTATATCAGGAATGATCGGATATGGTTAATTGAGCGAGACTGGTCCCTTGGAGAGCATTCAAAGTCTGCATCAGGCACCGACCATGTGCACAAGGGAGCAGGCAAGCAGGCAAAACCAAGAAGCAGGCGGGTAATGGAAACAGGCAGGCTAGCAAATGAGGGTGGTGGGAGAATACCATTTTTTTTCGTAAGGACTTAGGAAAAGACGACCGTGGTTTTAGGAGACTGTAACTGAACACTGGGCAACATATTTATGATGCACCAGCGGAGGTTATTGATGCGTGTCTGCTGTGGGAAAACTACAATTTTCCTAAGATGGACTATAAAAACACTTACTTGGCCCCATGTGTTCTGATGTTGTTTCATATGGACTTTGTTAACGTGGACAATGGTGAAAATGATAAATGAATTGTATTTGATGGTCTTGCAACAATTATTAGCATAATGTTCATAGTTTGCCTTTAGGTTTAACATACTGTACACATTTAAAAACACACATGCATTTTGGATGTAAAATGTTTGAGATGTACCATAACTTACATGTTCTACAATCACAATCGCTTGTTTCCGTGAACAGAAAAATGTTGCATCACTTTAGGTGTTGTGGTCGCAAGGACTTGTGGGACAGTATTATCTCCTTCGCTTCTGTAAAGGATTGAAGCTCCATTTTCTATAATCTAGAGATGTTGAACAACTGGCATTTAAGTACTGTCAGAAAGCTTCCTAAGAGATAACAATAAGTTTAGATTGCAACCAAGAACTGAGGCTTGAGAGCCGGTGAGGCATAAGAGACAATCTGGCAGAAAGTGGGTGCTGGATGGCTTATATACAAGAGCCTAATGAGGGAATGAGGAACAGGTGAGCAGGCAGGTGAGGGAAATCAGGGGGAAACTCGAAACAGCTGATAGGTAAAGCTGGGTTTGCATCAGGGGGTTCTGTTATAAGCTGAAAGGAGCAATTGCAGCATGTTAATTAAAGGAAATGGAATTGATTAACTACATTTTATTGTTAAACTATATATAGTTGTACTTTTTCTTTTGTAGTATTAAGAATTGAGTCATGCCTGTTACTTTCCCCTATTTCTGTATGAAGCCTTATTGTCTTGTTTTGTCTTTATCTAACATATGGTGTGGAATTCTATGATAAAGAAATAAAAATAAAATAAAGTTTTTTTCATTTAATTCCATAACAAAAGGGTGCATGTCTTCAAATGACAAAATGACTTAATAAAGTTAAAGACTTATTTTATATCCTTGAAGACCAGGTTGCACTTTCAAAACATTTTTTTTAATATATATATATATATATATATATATATATATATATATATATATATATATATATATATATAATCCTACTTAATCATTTTTAATTCAATCATAATCCCGGAAAATCTTACTGCATAAACAAAGAGCACAAAAACACAAAATAAGTCATGTTGGTCCCACAAAGTATATTTATTAACACAAAACACTGATTTACAGTTATTTACAGCAGCATTTACAATTTCATCAGGAAATTATTTTAAAAAAATGAAGGAATATAGATCACCTGACATACAAAAATGACATAAGTGACCGTGAAAAAAACAGTTTCTGTCAGTTTGTCCGTGGTATTTTACAGAATATTCACCTTTTTGTTTCACATTCATACTTTTGCTTCAATAACCATGTTATTCTATAGTTCTCCACAGCTACTCCTTCGTGGTGCTGTGATGAGTGAAAGGCCTTGTGTTGGAAATTGTCACACGCTTGTCTCAATGTGAGGTGACATCTTACGGTTCAGTATATGGGACAGGAGTCTATGCTGTTTGTGGAACCTGACAGACACACAAACAAAAAAGAACACACACATTTAAATATACAAACACCACCAGTATGCAGCAAATACAAAAAAAGTGAATTTAGAATAATGGCGCCATCACCTGCCACAGAAGTGTTACTGCAGAGGTTTTTTAAACACTTAAACTATATATGGTCTATGATGAACATCTATTGACAAATGTTTTCAGGAGAATGAAGTCATGCAAAAAAGAGCAAACTCAATTATTTTATATGATTGTGCACTATATGGCTTGAGTATAATGACGTTGTTGTATTATATTTGAGGCCAGGCAAGTAATAAAATAATTCTGGTGATGTATTTCTAAGTTTTCTCTTGTGTTTGTGACAAAAACACAAATTTAAAAAAGGGTCAGCCTCCGGTGTTTGGAATGAATATTACAATGACAACAAAAAACTTAAACAAATTCTCCTGCAAAAACCTCTTTTAATAATGAGCTTAAAATATTCACATTTGGATCCAAGGAGAGTAAAAAAAATAGATCATATGTTTGTTCTCACTTGCCTTTCAGGGATTTATGCCTCAAAATGCCAAAAACTTTGCATTTTCCTACTGATCTACAGATGTCACTGTACATTTTCTCACTAAAGCAAATGGCATCCTGTATGGAAGTGTTTCAATGCAACAATTACAATGTTATACTCACTTGTTTACTAATCTCTGTATCTCTCTGTTCTCCTCCTCTCTGAGTTTCAGTAGAACCTGCTCCAAGATAGGAAGCTCCAAGTTCAGATACTGTGCTACCTGAAAGAAAAAAGAATAACCTTGTCAACTAAGACATTTCAAATAGCGAATAAGACACAACAGGAGGGTTAAAGTGTATTTGACTGTTCTCTACTGCTAGACAACTCACGGCATTGCTGACTTCCTGTTCGTCCATGTTGATCAAGAAGATCTTCATAATGTCGTCAGAGGGTCCCTGCAGTATGCGCTCCCACAGGGGCTGGTCTCCGTCACTGAGCTTCCTCTTTTCTGGACACACACACACACACAACATCAGTGAAGCATTTTGCTGTCTTCCATCTTGTGATTGTTAAATGTAATGTGTGAAAAGCCTTACCTCCACTCTGATGAACACAGTATAGAGCAAACTCCTGAGGGTCGTTCTCTATCTGTTGAATAAACACAGAAGAAAAATATGAACATCAGTAACCAATCCTTGCTCTGGTTCACATATTGAAGTCTATTATTCTCTTTTTAGAAAATCACATCCCTTTTCAGCCTATATTATTTGTGTGTTTAAAATATTTATAATATATATATGTTTCTTAAATAAAAAGCTGTATATGGCAGTGTAATCCATAATACATGGATAAGAAACGTGTTATCCCAATATCCCAACTTAGAAGTGTGTCTCAGGGTGTTATACGGTGGCCGACAGGTGCAAACGAGCTACAATGGCCTACAACATTTCCATTAGGAGAAACGCGCTGCAGTTTCAAAAACAATGCAAATACAAAAACACAAATGTGCCAAAACACATTCAAATGTATAAACATCTTCACTAACTTGACAACACATACACAGCATTTACTAAAAGCACTGCCTTAACGAACCGTTTCGAATAAAAAAGTTCTGCAAATGCAAAAAAAGAGCATGAAGCTCGAAAAGGACACTCAAACAAAACTAACCTAGTCATTTCAAATAACATAGCCAAACCTTGCTGCGTAATTCTTAACTTTATTAACAGTCAAATAAATATAAATCATTTTAATCCTGTAAATGTCCATTTAAGAGGAATTGAGTCTGTTAAAACCAGAAATAAAACAATGTTTTGCCTTTTCTCCTACGATTTGAAGAACAAAAGCTCACCTTGAACTTGTGTAGGAGCTGTTCAATAACCTGGTTTGTGTTCATCTTGCTTGAGATACGAACTTTAGTAGGGGTGCCAAAGGATGGAGTAAAGATGGCAGTCTGTAGAAGAAGAAAGGAGAAGGTAAAGGAAAGTTACATAGAAAGAAAATGACAGCATTGATTAAAAAAAGGAATGAAGTTGGGCAGAAAGCCACCTTATAGTTATAGAAGTGTCCATTTATGGAAAAGCGGTGTTGTCTTTCTTGCTCCCTTTGTGCCGCTGTCTTCCCCCTCCCCCTCCTCCTCTTCACCAATGAGGCGTCACTCATACAGCGGATCAGGTTGGACTCCACCTCCAGGTCGCAGCTCCTCTGCCTCACGGGACGCAGCGTGGTGGTCTCATACACAGCAGGGCCTTTAGAGGTTACACAAACATTAAATAAAATGTGCCATATTCTACATTGGGTGCGAAAGACCAAACATATCACACTGTTGACTTATTTGGTGTTGGTAAGACACAACATATTTTTGTAAAAACAATCAAATGAACAATGAGGTTTGATTACTATGTGTTATTGAATTAAATGTCCTTGAAAGGATTAAGTTACTATTACTTTTCTACTTTTAATTAAGATAGGGTTAAGGTTAGGGTTGAGATGATCACATCCTGGGATATGGGAGGAAATGAAAAACAACCTGGCAAAGGTTTGGTGACGACTGTGTCGAGTGGTGTGTCAGACATCTCATCTATCTGGTGAAGGTCCGAATATTCTCCCCATCGAGACATGCCCCTGCAAAAAGACAGAGAAGGGAAGAATCATCTCAGAGACTTAAAACTGTTTCTAATTTAATTTAAGTAAAAATGACTATTAACACTAACTCATTAGAAGTGGTAATTCATGCTAACCCTAATCCCAATTTATTCACACTGTTGTGTATCTGTTTAGGAGCCCACTTTATTGTATGTTTAAGAAGGACAAATGCATTTGAAAAAAACTAGGACAGAGTTTTAGAATTACTACTACTATCTACTTGTAAAGTCTATAGTTTTTACAGTAATTTTAATCTTTTAGTTTTCAAATATTAAACGTTTTATAATGTATGATATTGATAATACAGCTTAGAAACAAACCCAATTACATTTTCCAAGACGTCAAAGGTAAATTGGGAATACAAATTCTTATAGATATCACTAACTCCCCCAGTTGTTTACTTGCATTAATACAATGTATTTTTGCAAGTTTTCTTAAATGTTATGTTTAATGTGACAGATTAGGGATTATCTAATGCTAACCTTTGGTCAATTTAAGATAAATCTCCAGACATCAATGGACAAAGAAAGTCAAATAAACACCCAAATGTGTATTTTCTTTTTTTCCACACACTATGGAAGCAAAACAGCCCAAATGATTATCATTGCCTGGTTTTAACTGGTCAAATCAGGATGACATAAAATGTTATTGAGATGATTCCATCAGCAAGAAGAAGATAATCTCACAAAATAACTATCTTATTTTTCTAGTGCCAATGAACACAAAATCTGAAAGGCACCTCTTGTCTCCGATGGGACTAACTGGGCTGGTGGGTCCGGGAGAGATCAGAGGAGCGAAGGGCAGCATCTGTTTATCGTCCTGTATCTTCAGACGGATGGGTCTCCGTACCCCCCAGGAGATATTCAGGAAGCCTTCCACCACCACCTCTCCATCACCATCCTGTTACACACACAGACCCAAAGATACCTGCACGGTGTATAATTACTATAATACATTCAATAACACTACACTTTATGAGCCAAACGTAAAAGGCAGCTATTGAATTGGTTATAAATAAGAGCCTTCAAGATATGTGATACAGCTGAGACAAGTTCTGACAAATAATAAAAGGAGATCATATGAATAATGTATTATTTTAACATACCAGTGAGTAACTGAGGTGGAGCTGAGTGTGGTCCTTGAGAAAGCAGTTGTAGGTGTTCAGCAGTGAGAGAAACTCTGCTCTGAAATAAACACAGCAGAACAAATCTGTTAATACTGGAATTTATACACTCTGTTTATTTAGCATTAGTGTCAAGTACAACTCTTAACACACTGCATACACCACTGTCAAATCTACTGACAATCTTTTTGTCATACATTTATTTATTACCATTAAAATATAAAACATTTTCATTTATGTAACAGGGAGTAAAACATGTTTTGCAGATTAGTTTTTCTAAATTGCAATTTTTTGCCCTTTCCTTACGATCACAGTTTTGGATGGTGGTTTTTAATTTATTAATTTATGTAATTGTTGGAATACTAATTTCGGCCACAAGAGGCTGAAGTGCAACACTGACCCATAATATACATACAACCAGAAGTTTTTTTTCCAGGTGAATTACAATTGTTCTATGCCTTCAAAATAGAAGTGTGTTACGTAACCTACCATCACACAATATATGCACATTGTGTTTGAATTGAATGCGGAAATAAAAAGAAGGGTTTTTGATTCTCAAGTGCCTTTCAGGGCTTTCACACAAATGTTTAAAAACATACATTTGATTATGTTCACTTTGTTGTCCTTGTTTTAAGCTTTAGCTGATTCTGATTTTGAATGAATGAGTATTTTAATCCCAGGTGATTATCAGTAAACTTGATAGTGTCTATATGTACCACATCCTGGAGTACTTTCAGGAAGAATTCAGCAGAGTTTTAGCAATGGCCCACCTGGATAGAGTCCTCCCGTCGCCTGCATGAATCACTGGGAGAAGATCTGCTTTGTTCATCTCGGGTTACTGCAGAGAAAATAGAAAATAACACATAAAAGAACAAACTATTCATAGCAACAGCTTCTGTAAACTCTAGAGCTTGGAGCAGTAGTTAACACGGTCAACTAGTTGAATGGTACTTCCTGAATGAAGCCACATTAGCAGCATTACGGAGAACAAATTACACAGGAAACGAACAACACTGCACTGGTTAAACCAACACGGTGTTAATCCTTCCACACGGAACAATATAATTAGTCTTACCGTCTAACATGACAAACAAGCATATATTCTGTCTCTTTGTCCCTTTCTCCTCTGCTTTAAATATCTTTTTGTTCCTCTCTCCCTCTCTCTCTCTGAAGTTTCTGTGTTATATTTGTCCCTCTCTCGCTCTTGCCGTGCCTTAACTCTTTCACTTTCTTTTTTTTGTGTGCCTTCTCCGAGAGATTTAATAACAGTACTCCACCCAGCAACCAGTGATGACAGTGTAGAGCTGAACATTTGTTTATCCTTCGGTCACAGAAGCATATGAGCAGAGCCTGCTGGAAGTATCCACGTGGCTGCTCCTTTTTTAACCTTTTTTTCTTTCTTCTGAATTAATGCAATAGTCCTATTCGTCCCTTTCTTTCACTTTTTCCAGCTCTCTGTCTGAGCTTGTTTGCTGCTAAGAAATATCTAAGGTATTCAGCAGTTGTCATCATGCCCCAGCAATCCCCGTCATACACAGGGAAGAACCACTTTATACCAGCAAACACAAAATGTAAAAAGTACAGCATGCAATTTTCCATGCAATGATTATAAAAAATAAGGAGATCCCATTTTATCAATCTGAAACATGCGTACTGATCTCCTTCAAAACAAAGATAAGGAATTCAATGTTTCATAATGTCGTAATAAATGTGCCTATATTGGCATTTATCACATCTGATTCTTTGACACATCGGATGACACATGTGAAATGTCGGCTATCACAAATTATGTTTTACACTATACTTAACTTATATCTGTTGTGATATATACACGTCATTGCATTTTATAACATGTTAAAGTGAAGCCCATTGGTGAAGTTATACACTTCTTTTTTAATTATAGTGTAGTAAGATTTCAGAATGTTCAATATTAGGTAAAACGGAGAGTGCATACAAGAAAAAAAGCAAGACTTGAGATTAGCAAAAACATAAGAAGAAGTAAAATGTTTGTCCACCTCATCAAAATTACATTTCCATACAACTAAAATGCATTGTCAATTGCAGTTTTAGGTAAATTCAAATTGTCTCAGATTGTTGTTTGTCCGAATGAATCATATTTGACCTCCACATAGAGGAGGTTAGGGTGGGTATATATTGGTCGAACAAGACTTTCACCATGGAGACTGTTACTTGAGTTCTGCTTGAATTAACCTCCGTAATTTAAAGTTACAAACATACTTCTTTCAAGCCAAAAATGTATAAATGAGCTTCATTTCAGATCATTGTTCTTAAACTCAGTGTGTAATATTTGTTGATAATGCACGAAAAACACTTACATCTGCTTTTATTCTTCTGGATCTCAACAGTGATCCATGTCTACATAAAAAAAACATGTTTATTTTCATGTTTGAGAATGAGCATAATTCATGGGGCATGTGCAGATATACTTTAATAGAAAACATGTTTCATACGTTTACAGAATAATGTTGAAGAAGAAGAAGTAGTTGAGAGGATACATTTTTTGGTGCAACAAGTCCAAAGCTTTCTCAAGTATGTCTAACTTGAACTCATGCAAGCTCTTTGTCTCACAAGCCTCAACATGCAGGTTTTGAGTGTTCCTTGAGCAAAGACATCCAAACGGCATGAGTGTGTGATTTGTGAATCACATGGAGTTCAAAAGTCAAAGCTGATCACTAAAAAAAAGAGGAACTACTCACATGGCTAAGTCAATAATCTATGAGAGTTCATACATCCAACAGAGGTATTGTTCTTTAAGCAGCAGCTATTTTAGCCTTAGATCAACATAACTACTCCAAGCATCAAAGAAATCTCACAAAACAAGACAATCAGGGACTTTTAAATAATCGGACAGGGCAAAAGTCTGCACTATAACCCCATGAGGCTCACCACACAACACCTTTTGAGTGACTAAAAATGGATAGACATTGCTATTCTTTGATATTTATTACCGGTTAAGAGTGAAACAAGATACAATGTATGCATCTGCATTTTTATTGTAAAAAACGACACAGAAAAACATAGCCAGTGGGAAAAAAGCCAAAGCAAACCATGACACACCCATTCTCTCCCTGTATTGCTTTCCTGTATGCCACTTCCCCTCTTTCTGCCTCACCTTTACACTCCTTTCTCCTTTAGTAATGTACTCGCTGTTTCTGAATCACTTGCCCAGATTTGACCTAAATATGATGTTATCTTAGTATAATGTCCCCTGTTTAATCACAATCTCTTATATGGTTTTGTTTTAGTATATTACAATGCATTTACTGCCTTACACTGATTAACATAACATATGTTTTACACATAATTTCTAGCAATGTATCTGCTGTGTCTATATAAAAAAAGAGCAACAAAATGAAATTAGTTGTAAAATGAAAAAAGTATTTATACAATTGAAACCCAGAAACTTTAGGTTATATGAACTGTGACGTAAATGACAATGAAAGAGGGGTTAGCGGTTTGTTATTCAAATAGTACACTATTATTGTTATTCAAATACTACACTATTACCCATTACACCATGGTCACATTCAAATAATTTCTGTAGTAATACATGCTATTGTTAGCTTAACATAGCAGCTTTTTGATCTTTTACTTTACTAAATGATCAAAGAAACATTCACTCCTACCTGGCCAGTCCAACAGTCTCGAAACAAATGAGGATGATTCACTCCATGTTTAAGGTTTTAAACCTTATTTGCGTGTGTGTGTGTGTGTGTGTGTGTGTGTGTGTGTGTTTGTGTTTGTCATAGGTCCAGAGTACAGTGCATGTGGTCGGAGGTGAGGTTGTAGAGCACACTGCAGCAGCTGGTTAATTATTGCAAGACACGTTGAGACAGTGTCGAGAAGGAGGGGCTGACTGACACCAGATATGACTTGCCTGCTGTGTGTGTGTGTGTGTGTGTGTGTGTGTGTGTGTGTGTGTGTGTGTGTGTGAGTGTGTGTGTGCGCGTGTGTGTGTGTGTGTGTCTGTCTATGTGTGCCTGTGTGTGTGCGTGTGTGTGTCTGTCTATGTGAGTGTGTGTGTGTGTGTGTGTGTGTGTATGTGTGTGTGACAAGAGACTGAGTGTGAAAGCAACCTATTTTTTTAAGTTTCAAGCTGCTAGCCAACTTTAAAGGTTTGATCTATTAAATATCAGTCAGCATTTTTTACCATGTATGAGTACACACAATGAGTTTGACTACAATTTGAAATTGTTCTACTTACACTAACAAAAACAGAAAAATACTTAATAAAGCAAGGAAAAAAGGTGGAAAAAAACTATTATGTACATACAAAAGGTGAACAAATAGGTGAAATATATATAAAACCCAACAATGATCGACAACAAACAATATATTTTCAGGTCAAATGTTTGGAGTACAAAATAGTACTTCATTTAAGGACTACAAAAATGTATACACTGTACACAAAGTCAATGGAAATCTAAAATTGACATCATGCAGCTGGTCATACAAGTTGACAGTTGCGTGTTCATAAAGTAGAATAAAGAGAACATTAATCCAGGAGAGCTTACTGAGGACAAACATTATAAAGACATAATAAATGGGTTCAATCAAAGGCACCACAGTCATGACGCTCATTGTTAGATAAAGAGGAAACACTCATTGCCAAACCAGGACAGGTGTAGCAAGCAATACCAGGTGGGGCTATAGGCAAGCTCGCTGACCCTAAGTATATTGAGATGAGAATATCTCCCCTGTATTTATTCAACCTGCACAGAGAGCTGATGCTATTGATTGAATATATTTCTATCCTTCTGAAAATACGTTTTGTTTCACTATAACAATTATTTCTGACATGGAGTACCACAGGGAACAGTGCTCGGTCCTTTGCTATTCTTCTACTACATGCCACATTTGGGGAAAATATTAAAATATAAATTAAATTTGTTTTGTTGCATGTTTGTTTTGTCTCAATTTCCAATATTTAACCTGTTTTAAATCTGCAACCGTAATGCTGTTGAACATTTATTATTAGTTTGATTACATTTTTCATTTATAAAGTAAATAACAATATTTCTCTTAAATAGTATCTATGCTTTTTTTTTTTAAAGGTGCTGCAGAAATAACGTTTTTAGCACAAGTATAAAGAAATGTTTTGATTTTTATACCTGTGAAAATGATCTGCTCCACTCTTTTCTTTTTCTTCCTTAACAGGGACACCATGTGGATTATAGAGCAGCTTCAGTGGAACAAAATGGGACTCTAGTTTCTGGTTAAAGAGGAAATAGGCAGGGAGGGTCTTAACATATAATCTAACCACAAAGTACAGTCATTTTCTGAACCCTGAGGCAGCAGCTTTGAAAGATCTAAAAGTGAAAGTTGTCATGGTGTTATTAAGAATGCCAGGGTCAAATGTGTCTTTTAAGTGTAACCATGCCTAAGTGTCTACTCCCTCAGAGAAAACAGCTGTTTGGTAAGTGAAACAGTAATTCAATGCTCCACATTTTAAAAATTACTGAATGCATGCAATGCAAACACGTTGCAACAGTCGATCCACGCATGTAACACAACCAGTGTCCAATTTTCTGAATTAAATCATTTATGAAAACGTTTTGTACTTAGTTTACTTTTTGGATTGTATTTTAGGAGCAGAGAGTACATAGTATGTGTCAGCAGAGGGAGCCAGAGGAGTTACAGAATTAAACTGCTGAGTCAGTAGTCGCTTGCATATGGTATTTTGACACTGAAATTGTGTTCTGATATTGGGGGTGTACATTTAATCTTGTACTGTAGATTAGTACAATTGAGGTACTTTATTGGAGTATTTCCAAGTTTCCACTTTATACTTCCACTCACTACAATTCAGAGGCAAGTATTATACATTTTACATCACTTCATTTCTGTAATACCTTTAGTCACTAGTTTGCACATTCAATTTAATAATAGAACATTTACTCAACAAGTAAGAAGTGATGTATTAGTATGGATAAACACTTACTCAAAGACGCTTTACAGCAGTATGTTGGCTTTATTCGAAGGGAAAAATCATATACCCTGCATAACAGCAGCACCTAGTGGCGTGCAGTGTGAATTATCTGCTAATAGTTACATTTGTATACGTTGTTATAAGACATGAAGAGCGTAGGGGGTGAGAGTCATGCACAGTTTAAAAGGGATAAAGGGACAGTCAAAATGTGGACATTTTAAGGATCTTTTTTACAGGTTTTAGCTCTTGTCATTCCTCCTTTTTTCTAAATATAAAATCAACATCAAAAGAGATAGTAGGCTATTGTCTATTATATAAAACGAAAGCACAAAACTGCAGTCAACGTCAACCCCAGAGATGGGGTCGTTACTAAAAAAAAGTAATATATTACATATTACTTAAAAAAAAAGTAATATATTACACTACTTCGTTACTCTCTACATAAAGTAACTCGTTACTTTACTCGTTACTTTACTCGCAGGGCCGGCCCG